GCCGAAGCCGTACGGGAAGGATAAGAAATGAAAGATGCACCCGTCGCGCCGTGCGCGACGGGTGCGATGATCGGGCCCCTACGGGGGCCGCGCTCTACTGGCCTTGCCTAGGCTATCAGGGCCGCGCGTGATTTATCGTTTCTTTATTTAGTATATGTTCTCGATTCGCGTCCGCTGCCTCTCGCACATGCCGCCGTTCGTTGGCCTACCGCCCCTCACATATACTCGATACCTCGCATTCCGACCCCCTCAATCTTGCACTCGTACCACGAGCGCGCCGTACTGAGGTCTTCTCTGTTCGCCCACAGATCCCGCTGCACACTCCGTCAATTTGTGGACTGCAAGGCTTTCATTCTCAAGCTTGAGAAGGCGCTGTATGGGTTGAAGCAGGGCAGGCAGGAGTGGTACAAGACACTGTGCGCGGGCTCGGGAAACTGGGTTTTACAAGGGCTGAGGTGGACTGGGGTATTTTCTACAAGCACAACGGTAAGCACATGCTCGTGTTCGCGGTCCATGTTAACGACTGCCTCTTCACAGGGAGCTCACGACGTCTCCTTGACAAGAACAAGGCGAAGAACAATCCCGAATTCATTGTTCATGAAGATCCACATGCGCAGTCTGTATGGTGCGAGTCTAGAAGTTGCTTTGTATATTATTCCTGTGATACAGACTGTGATTATTGTTCTATATGAGACTTGCAAGAAGGTTGAGGGTAATATATATCAGTGTAGCATATATCAATCTGAGTCCATGTCCTCATCCATGTGATCCGATCCCATAGCCCATTCAATCTCCAACTCCTCAGCTGCATCATCCTCGTCAGCTTCAAGAGCTTGGTTGTCCATCCTGTCCTCGGCATCAACCATCTCTACATCATCATACCCAACCCATTCATCCTCATCGTCTTGATGGTCTTCAAGGGACACGTCTTGCTCAGCAGCCTCATTAGCATGACCTGCTGTGCCAGACTTGGTGACTGGTCGGGGAGGATCACGTGTGTTGCGGGCAGCTGCAGAACGCTTGGAGTTGGCCCTCTTGGCGCTCTTCTGTCGCAAAGCATTCTGGAACTTGCTGATGGCGCCCATGTCACTGACACCGTGGCTGTTGTTGCTGGATATGCGTTTGAGAAAGCCTGCTTTTGAGAGGGTGACCCGGCGGGTGCTGTTGCGCTTGCGCTGTCCAGTTCCAATCGACGCCATGCGGTAGTATCGGGGATTGATGACGAGACGGACACTGTCTTTGTCCTGCTTCCACAGGAATCCAAGCGAGGTAGGGGTGCCGGCGAGTGCATAGGGAAGAAGTTGGAGATGTGAGAAGATGTGTCCGAGGCCATCGTTGATGTCTTGAGCGGCTGAGTTGGACGACTCGCGGAGTGTCCTGTGGTACTCGTAGATATATCCCACCTCAGCGTTGAGAAGGAACCACCACTGCGATCCAGATGGGACGGTGTGACCAGGTGGAGGAAAGAAGAGCTTGGCTCTGTCCTTGAAAGACAGCTCCCTGTGGCCATGGACGGGACCAGAAAGACCGCCATTGGTGGCCTCGAAGGCAACTCTAGCGATAGTCCCACGGGCCATGCCAATGGTCCAGAACTCCATGGCGTCTTCGAGAGAGGAAGGACAGGAAATGGCTGGGACGATGAGCCAGGCATTGCTGAGCATATATAGGCTGAACGAATGGGCCCCTTAGGGTTAGACCTGAGGTAGACTTTGCATTTCCAGATCTAATTTAGTGTTTTGAGTGAATACATTGATATACCATACCTCAATGGCTCTGAATCCACTTACACGCAAGTCTAGCTCGCAAATCTGCATATCCAGCTTTGTCTTCAGCGGACGGGCGCTTATTTTGCGCCAAAGACAGAGCTACCTCTGACGCAACACGTGTATTGCACTGCCGTTCTTCAAATTTGTGTATAAATTTTTTGTCAGACAATGTATCCTGCATATTATACTACAGTCTAAATAGCAGAGATTAGATTATGGGTNTGGATAAAGTAGTCTACTGGACAGTCCTAGCACCACTCATCCGCCAGAGGTGAAGTTGTCTTTGACGGACTAAGGG